GTGTCTTGCACAGGCTCAGACCTGATAATGAGTCACACGGGACATGTCTAAGGAGGAGGGCATCTGTCTGCCGTGCCAACATGAGGACAGAAGGACTGGTGTCACCTCTGGTCTGCTGTCTGCATGGGGTCCCCCTATGCTATTTGTGTGAATCAACCTGAGGTAGAGAGAAAAAGATTGGAAAAACAAATACCACGCATATTCATTACTGGAACTAACCAGTGAGCACACAGAGGGACATCAAGCTGGGGGGAAGGAGCAAAAGCCTCCCTAATGGGCACAGTGGGCACTATCTGGGTGATGGGCACACCTATAGCCCGGACTCCAGCATTAGGAAAGTGGTCCACATAACCCAAAACATTTGTAACCCCTTAATATTTTGAAATTAAAGAAAAAGAATTACATCTGACTTCTCCGATGAGAAGAGACCATGTGAGATGCAAAGAAGAGAATGGAGTGAAATACTCGGAGTACTGAGAGGAAGAACAGAAACATTCCCAGCTTCCGGGGGCGTCTAAAAGAAAGAAACTGAAACCTAGAATTCTGAATCTTGTGAAATTATTTTTCAAAAGTAAAAGAGAAATAATGACTTTCTCAGATAAATAAAACTTAGGCAATTGTTGCCAGCACTCTTGCTTTGCAAAAAATGTTAAAAAGTTCTTTTTAGAGGCGAGGAAAATGATGGGGGTCAGACCTCCCCAAGATGGACGTAAAGAAAGGGCGTTAGAGAAGGAACGTGAACTATTTTTCTCAATCTTAATCTGGCAAATCACAGTCAATTCATTGTAATATAATAATAATATATTTGATGATTGTAGTACATATAAGTAACATGAATAACAGTGATACAAGGGATGGGAGAGAGGAATTTGAATTATTTTGTTATTATAAGGTGTTTGGACTGCCCTCAAAGCAGTATAGTGTTGTTTGGAAGTGGACTTGCAGTAGTTGTAAATGTATTTTGCAAATGCAAGGGTGACTATTTAAAAACATTTAGAAAGAAGTATAATTATTATACTGAAAGAGGAGAAAAATAAAATCATATAAAATAGCCAGGTATTATGGTGGCGCCTATAGTCCCAGCTACTGGGGAGGCTGAGTCAAGAGGATCACTTCATCCCAAAAGTTTGAGGTTGCTGTGAGCTATGACACTATGGCACTCTACTGAGGGTGACAAAGGGACAGTCTGTCAAAAAAAAAAATCAGTAATCAATAATCTTAGCTTTCACCTTAGGAAACCAGAAAAAGAAAAGCAAATTAAATCCAAAGCAAGCAGGAGAAAAGAAATAAAAATTAGAGCAGATATCAATGAAATTGAAAACAGAAAATCAATAGAGAAAAATCAACAAAACAGAATGGTTCTTTGAAAATTCAATAAAATTGGCTCGGCACCTGTAGCTCAGTGGGTGGGGTGCCAGCCACGTACACTGGGGCTGGTGGGTTTGAACCCGGCCTAGGCCTGCTAAACAACGACAACTACAACCAAAACATAGCTGGGTGTTGTGGCGAGTGCTTGTAATCCCAGCTACTTGGGAGGCTGAGGCAAGAGAATCGCTTAAGTCTGAGAGTTGGAGGTTGCTATATGAGCTGTGACATCACAGCACTCTACTGAGGGTGACATAGTGAGACTATGTCTCAAAAAAAAAAAAGAAAATTCAATAAAATTGATAAAGTTCTAGCTGGGCTAGGAAATAAAAGAGGGAACCACAAATTACTAACATCAGCGATAAGAAATCAGCACTACTGATCCCATGAACATTAAAAGTATAATAAGGGAATATTATGAACAACTCTATGCCTACAAATTTGATAAGCTAGGAAAAGGACCGATTTCTGGAAAGACTCAATCTACCAAAACTCACCCAGGAAAAAATAGATAATCAGAATAAGCCTATTTCTATGAAACAAATGGAATCAATCACGAACAGTCTGCCCAAAAAGAAAACACCAGACCCAGAAAGCTTCTCTTTCCCTGAGATGAGGCAGGGCCTTAGCCACTTGAGCCACAGGTGCCGAGCCTGTGGTGCCACCAGGCACAAAGGAAATGAGCTGGTGTTGTGGTTTGTAGACATTTTTAAAGAAAGAATTCGTGTTCTTCTTTCCCATAATGTCTCCCACATTCCCCAGCTCATGAGAGGGTCCCCCTGGCAGGTCTAGCTGGAAGGGCGTAGCTTTAGTGTTCCTGCTCTGCTGCAGCTGGGTCTGCCTCTGAGGACCAGTGGTAGGAAGGTGCAGAGAGGGAACAACAGTGGGGGTTCCTCTCATGCTCTTGGATTGCACAGGAGCAGAGAATTCCCCTTTCAGATTTCTAGGTGTTCACCTACCTGCTGCTGCTGTCACCAGAGTGCAGCTTTCAAACCTGAACTTTCCCTAGGACAGGCCTCTCCGACACTCCTCAGACCAGAAAGAGAAGGCTTCTCCTGGAGCTCTGTGGGCCATGCCTGCTTCTCTATTCTTAAGGTGACCAGACGTTCCACTTTTGGCGGGACAGTCCCCATTTTTAACAATTTGTCCCGCGTCCTGCAGCGTTTTAAAAAAATCTCGATTTTTGAAAAGAATGCACAAGCCAGGGAACACAGAACAGGAAGGGAATAGACAGTTTTCAGCTGCCATGTGGCTATTTTGCCAGAATATGAGTTTTATATTATTTTTGTTAATTTTATAATGTTAAACTTTAATAATAACAAATCATCGTTGAGAACTGATTATGGAGAACTGCTTATCAAAGTCTGCATTGTTGTCAGGCCCCACCCAGTCAATGGTGTCCTGCTTTACCAATGTTAAAATCTGGTCACCTTACTATTCTGGGATTTGGGCTTCCTTTGGGACACAGGAGGAAAACAGAACCCAGGAGATGTGTCGCGGGGTGGATTACCTCAGGTTTGGTCTCACTCCAGTCGGCTCACTGCCGTCTCCTTTTCGAGCCCATGAGCACTGTCTAGGTTTTAAGGTGCACGGGAGAGACAGAGTGGGTTGTGCTCACTCCATTCAACCACATTTGCAAGCTCTTTTACTATTTGTTTTTTATTGTTATCAATTTGTAAGGTTTTTAAAAAAATACTCTGGATATGGGTCTTTTATTAGATATTGTTTTGGTCCATTCTTGCTGCTCTAACCAAAATACCATAAAATGGGCAGCTTATAACCAACAGACACTTACTCCTCAGGCGCCAGCAGACTCAGTGTCTGGTGAGGACCTGCCCTTCACAGGTGGCACCTTCTGCTCGTGTCCTCACGTGGCAGAGGGTGAGCTGGTTCTCTGGGGACTCCAGCTTTTCTAAGAGCACTAATCACCTTCACAAGGTGGGTCCTCAGGACCTGAGCTCCTACCAAAGGCCCCCTTCTAATGCTGTCACGCTGAGGATTAGGTTTTAACATATGAATTTGGGGAGCACAAACGTTCAGGACATTCACATTCAGAGCATGTAGAAAGAGAATAAATAAGTTCTGCCAGTCTGGGGCTTGACTTCAGTTTCCTCAAGTGTCTTGGATGAAGTCCAATTTGTCAACTTTCTTCTCTCTCTCTCTCTCTCTCTTTTTTTTTTTTGTAGTTTTTGGCCAGGCCAGGTTTGAACCCATCGCCTTTGGTGTGTGGGGCCGGCACCCTACTCCTTTGAGCCACAGGCGCTGCCCTCAACTTTATTCTCATTAGCTTTGCCTCATCAAATCTTTGTTTACCCCAAGGTTAAGACGCCTATGTCTTCCTTTAAAAGAAGTGTTATTTTCCCGATAAGTTTAGATCTATCATGCATGTTCCTGACCGTGAACGTGGCGTCTCTCTCTGTTCAGATCTTCAGTCGCTCTCTGCAGAGTTGTATGGGTGTCAGCTTTCCTGTAATGTCTTCCTGTTTTATGTTTTTACGCTACAGTAAATGGTGGTTTTAAAACTGTAATTTTAGAGGGACTTTACCTAACAAATGCAATCAGTGGAACCTAGTTTCTTGTACCCTCAATGAATCCCCAGCAATTAAAAAAAAAACAAAAACCCTGCAATTTTAAACTATTCATTGCTAGTAAACAGAGATACAGTATATTTAATCTTGATGATATAATTTTCTTAAACCTATCAGATATACTTATTTGATACATCTGATCGTTCTGATTTCTTCTTCCTGGCAACATGTGATTTTACTAGGACATAGTGGCATTTTTCTTAGGTGTTTGTGATTTTTACTGTGATCTATTCAATGGAACTTTCTTGGTGAGAATTCTTTGAAGCCCAGGTTGAAAGTGAATATCCCCAGAGACATTTTGTAGCCTCTTCCAGGTACCTCGGAGTCCAGGATTATTTTATTGCCAGACCAGAATTATTTTAAAATAAATTCTCAGCTTTAAAATATTTTTACAGCTTCAGTGTAAAACAAGCCATGTATTGGGAGTGTGAATTCTGGCAGACCTGCGTAAGCTCAGCTTGTATTTATAAATTTAGCACCACAGTTAAAACATGCAAATTTCCCTATTTTCTCCCTCAAAACATCCTGCCCGTTCCTTTCTCTCTGTGTCCCCTCTCTCAGACCTCCCTGAGGCGTCTTCTTCCCCTGGCTGCTCTCAGGCCTATTCCTGTGCTGAAGGGGAGCTTGTGACAACCTTCTGGTTGTATGTCTGGGAAGTAGGAATCCCTTTTCTAAAAATTACTTCTCCACCTTTTCTGTGCCCAGCCTTGAAATATAGGTCCAAAAAAGGACATATGACCTGTCTTCATGGCGCTGACAATTTGGGGGTGGTGGGAGAGACAGTGACTGATGCTTACTGAGCCCTGTTTTGTGCCAGCCACCCGCTTGGTGCTTTCTGGTGCATGATGTCAAGCAGTGCTGGTGATGACCTTGCACTGTAGGCCGACCAGTGGATGTTTCCCGGTTGAGTAAACTTGGGCTTCAGGGGTTGCAGGTGGTGAGTGTGGCACTGGGGGTTGGGCTCCCCATGCTGGGAATCTCCCTTTCCCAGAGGCAGGGTGACAGCCACTGCAGTGGGTGACTTGCTGTGGCCTTTCTCTCTCTTAGAGGCTGTGCATCCCTGTGTACTGCAAGTACCAGTTCTATAAGACTCCAGTTCACAAGACCGAGGGGAAGCCCCATGGAACCCACATTCGTTTCCAGGACGTCAATGTCATCTTCCTTGGGGCAATAAACCCCAGTGACCTGAGGGAGTACCTGGAGGGTCCCCCCATGGTGGTGGAACTTCATGACAGGGATCGCAAGTCAGAGGAGTATTCTCGGAAGCCCATGCTGTTTGGGGAGGACCGTCTGGATCCATACCTCAGCCTCCAGAACCTCATCTCTCCCCAAGAAACGGAGACCAACCCCTTTGAAGCCCAGAACAAGACATGGGACCCTTATGGGATTTCCCGGGTCAGTTTTGCTGACCTCCTCCTTGGTCACAAGTACTTGAACCTGGTTGTCCCCGTCCATGGCTGTGAGCTCAAGCCCACACATGACAGGTGGGACAGCAAGAACAGGAAGGCTGAGGGGCTTGGGGTCCCCAAAGATGGCTTCCACCATTGTCCAATACCCATCGGCCACTACCTCGAAGCCGACACTTTGCTCAAGCTGCGAGTGGACATTGCGGTGCCACTGGGGGCCGGTCCCCCCGATCTGGACTCCAGGGGTGCCCAGTTTGGTCGCATCATCTTCGTGTTCCACTTCAGAAAGTGCTTCCTCCTGCACAGCCTGCTGCAGGACATCACCAGGATCAACGCCAAGGCCTTCGACTTGGACGCCTACCCCCTCAGGGACATCCAGCAGATCCTGTCAGCCTTCAAGATGCGGGTGAAGATCCAGGAGCAGCAGCACCTGGACGTGCTCACGGGCTTCCACCTGCTGGACGGCAAGGTCCACCTGTTGGTCCTGGAAGGCGTGGCTGAGCAGGGCCTGAGGCAGCTGTGGGAGAGCCACCAAAGCCGGTGGGTGGTTTGCTTTGAATTTCAATTAAAAGTGATGGTGTGGGAAGTGCCGAGTGGGTGGGATGGCTCCAGGCCAAGGGTCAGGGTCCTTGTCTGGGAGAGGGAGATGTGGGTCCCTCCTCCCCAGGTTAACTATGAGGTCTTTACCACAGCTTAATAACTGGGCCTGAGAATGGGAAGAATTGACTGTCTTTAGTTGAAGTGAGGAATTTAGGGGTGCATAGACGACAGAGTGGTGCCTTCAGACCTCTGAGCTGAGGACCAACTCAGCTAACTGGGGCCAGAATGATCTGTGTTAGATTTCAGCACAGAGAAGATTCTTTTGAAGGTGAAGGGACTGCCCAGGCTGCAAGAAGTGGCCCTTCCCTGACGTTTGGTGGGACCTGGGTGGCTACTCTGTAGAGACGTCGTAGAGGCAGTAGAGTGTCCAGGTCTGGCCTGAAGCAAGTAGCCCTTCCGGTCCATCCATTCTTTGGTTTTGGTGACATGACAATTCTTTTTGCTTTTCATAATTTACAACTCTTCTGGTTTGGGCACATAGAGTCTCCTTTTTTGAGTCTAGAGGGTCCCCATCTGTCCTTAGATTTCAGATGCCCCTGGACATACATACATGCTGACAGCTGGTAGTCCAGAGGTTGAGTCTACCCACCCAGGAGGGATTGCAGCTTTCTGGGGGCTTGGTTTGATGTGCTGATGGGCACACATGTCCACACAAAAACCTACACACAACATAATTACAAATAACTTATGGGCCAAAAAGAAGGTTTTTTTTTTTTTTGAGACAGAGTCTCACTTTGTTGCCCTCGTCGGGTACTGTGGTGTCAGAGCTCACAGCAAACTCCAGCTCTTGGGCTTAGGTAATTCTCTTGCCTCAGCCTTCTGAGTAGCTGGGACTACAGGTGCCTGGCACAATGCCCAGCTATTTTTTTGTTGTTGCAGTTTGGCTGGGGCTGGGTTCAAACTTGCTACCCTTGGTATATGGGGCCGGCGCTCTACTCACTGAGCCACAGGCGCTGCCCCAAAAAGTTTTATGGAAAGTAGACATTTGTGTACGTTAGCAGTGTTATGTATAACCATCAAAAAGTAGAAACAACTCAAATGTCTCTCAGGTGATCAGCAAATTGTGGTATATCCATACAATGGAATATAGTTCATCCATGAAAAAAATGAAGCACTGATAACACACAGCTAAACATGGATGGGCCTGGAGAACATTACATTAATAAAGGAAGCCAGTTACAGAAGGCCACAGTATGATTCGATTTGTATGAAATGTCCAGGTCAGGCAAATCTATAGAGATAGAAGTAGATCAGTGGTTGCCGAGGACAACCACTCAGGGGAGGGGCAGGAGGGCAGTGGGGAGTCATTGCTAATAGGTACAGAGTTTCTGTTAGGGTGATGAAAATGTTCTAGAATTAAATGTGTCTATAGTTACATAACGTTGGTGAATGTACTAAAAACTTCTCAATTGTGCACTTTATAATGTTGAATTTTATAGTAAGTAGTGGAGAATTGGACTTTGTCCTAGAGAGCTCTGGGTTTTTCCCTTGGCTCCTGGGAGGTGATCTGTGTCACACCTGCTAAGAGTGTCTTATCCGTACCTGATAGTGGCAGGATGAAGGCTGACAGTGCCGGAAAGACCAACGGTGTGATTTAGGGTGGGAGCTTCGGGTCATGCAAAACCGCTTGATCTGGAGACTGAGCACCACCGTGCGGGCAGTCAGCCAGCCACCCATGCCTAGGTAATGGACCCTAGTAAAATCTCTGAACAGCACAGCCCAGGTGAGTGTCCCTGGTCGGCAGTACTCTCACATGTGGTCACTCCTCAATGTCATAAGGGCAGCACACCCTGACTCCATGAGAAATGCAGGGTGAAAGCTCTGTGTTCGAACCGTCCCAGCCTCAGCCTGCGTATTTCTTCCCTTGGCTGATTTTCATCTGTAGTAAACTATACCTGAGGATAACAGCCTTCAGTGAGTTCTGTGAGCCCTGTCAGTGTAATGTCAAACCTGAGAGTCATCTTGGGAACTTCCTGAACTTACAGTTGGTGTGAGAAGTGGGGCTGTGTCTTCAACCTTTGAAATCTGGTTAATTGAGGTATATGAATTTTAGTACAAATTTTTTCCAGTGGCAAAAATAATATGAAGCATGTTCACTGAATCCAGTTTAACTAGGCTAGAAATAAAAAATTGTTAACCAGAAAAAATTCCATATGTTTGGGATTTAATAAACATAATTACAAATAACTTGTGGGTCAAAAAGAAATTGTAATGGAAACGAGACGTTTTTGATCTCAAAAGTAATATATCTAAATTTGTGGGGGTAATATTAAGGCATTCTTTACATGAAAATTTATAGCCTTAAATGCTTACATTGGAAATGAAAAAGGGGTGAAAATTAATGAAATATAAATACAGATATTACAGACATTGATATAAATGTTTCAAACTGTGCCAATAAATTTAAAACTGGTCACTTAAAGGAATTAAAAAATATATACCAAAATATGTTCGGGTAAGATAGTTGAATGAGGTTTATGGATATAAAAATTAGTATAAAATCCATTTCTGAATGCCATCTGTATATAAAAACTAATTTTAAAAATTGGTGCATACTTAAAGTATAAAAGGATGAAGTTCAAAGGAATAAATCTGACAAAAAGATGTGAAAGAGCTCCATCATGAATATTACAGAACATTGAGAAACATCAAAGAAAACCTACGTAAGAGGAGAGAGGTACGAGAGATGCCGTCTCCACGGTACTTAGACTCACTTGTAAAGGGTCAGTTACCCCCAAATTGGAACTATAGGTTCATTGTAATCTCTAGTTTAAAATCCCAATAGTTTTAAAAGTGTGGAACTTTAAAAGCTCATTTTAAAATTTATGTCAACAGGGAGGTCTTTAAAAGATACTCCTCAGGGGTGCTGCCTGTGCTCAGTGCTCAGTGGGTAAAGCACCAGCCCCATATACCAAGGGTGCCAGGTTCAAACCTGGCCCAGGCCAAACTGCAACAAAAAAATAGCCAGGCATTGTGGCGGGCGCCTGTAGTCCCAGCTACTTGGGAGGTTGAGGCAAAAGAATCACCTAAGCCCAAGAGCTGGAGGTTGCTGTGAGCTGTGATGCCATAGCACTCTAAGGGCACCAAAGTGAGACTCTGTCTCTAAAAAAAAAAAAAAAGATACTCCTCAAAAAGAACATGATGGGAAAACTTTCTGTACTAGATGTCAAGACTCATTGTAAAGCTCGAGTAGTTAAGATAGCGTAGTACAGGTTTAAGGACAGACAAGCAGACCAAATGGAATATGATGTATAATCCAAAACCAGACTTACATGTACGTCGGTACTTGACATTGCAAAATCAGCAGAATATGAGTATACTAAGAAACACTGAAGTGTATACTTTAAAAGGGTGAATTTTACACAATCGGATACTACTTCTTACCCACTAGGATAGGAAGAAGCAAAAAGTCAGATAATACCAAGTGTCCGCAAGGATGTGGAGAAATCAGAACCATCCTTTGATGCTGGGAAGAACGTAGGTGCAGCCACTTTGGAAAAATGTTGTTCTTCAAATGATCAAACATAGGTTTCCCATATGATCGAGAAATACCATTCCTAGGTCTATGCTTAAGAAGAATGAAAGCAAATCCCCACAGTAAATTTGTACACGAATGTTTATAACAGCATCCTTTGTGATCACCGAAAGGTGGAAACAACCCGAGTCTTTATTAAGTGATGAATGGATGAATAAAATGTGGCACGTACGTTGGAATATGATATGGATGCGAAACGGAACGAAATGCTGATACCTGCTACGTCGTGAAGGAGCCTAGAAAGAGGAAGAAGCCAGTCACGAAAAACCACACACTAAATAATTCCCAACAGGCAAACCTATGAACATAGAAAGTACATCAGTAGAAACACAGGGTGATGAGTCAGGGGTTGGGAATAGGGGGTGACAGCTGAGGTGTACAGGGTTGGGAGTGGAGGGGGACAGCTGAGGTGTACAGGGGTTGGGAATAGGGGGTGACAGCTGAGGTGTACAGGGTTGGGAGTGGAGGGGGACAGCTGAGGTGTACAGGGGTTAGGAGTGGGGGGTGACAGCTGAGGTGTACAGGGGTTGGGGGTGACAGCTGAGGTGTACAGGGGTTGGGAGTTGTGGGGGTGACAGCTGAGGTGTACAGGGCTGGGAGTGGAGGGGTGACAACTGAGGTGGATTCAAGATGTTGAAATGTTCTAACATTGATGTTGGTGGCCACAGTCTCATTAAATGAATAAATTGAATGGCATATGAATTCATCACAACTTTAAAATATCTCTCGTGAAGAACAATAGAAAAAAATCAGTGGAGGAAGAGTCAGCTTTTCAATAAATGATGTTGGGATAATTGTTTTTCCATAGGAAAGTAGGAACATGAATTCCTACCTCTAACCTTTCATAAAAATCAATTCTAGCTGGATTTGAAAACCTATGTATGTTTTTATCGTTTTAGTTTGAAATACTTACAGATTCACAGGAAGTTAAAAATATATGAGAAGTACCGTGCACCCCTCGCCATTTCCCCCATGGTTATATCTTACACAGCTATGGCACAGTATCTAAACCAGGAAATTGATGCCCAGTGCAGGGGCTCATGTCTCTAATCCTAGCACTCTGGGAGCCAGGGCAAGTGGGGTGCTTGAGCTCAGGAGTCTGAGACCAACCTGAGCGAGAATGAGACCTGTCTCTAAAAACATAGCCAGGCGTGTGGCAGGTGCCTATAGTCCCAGCTACTTGGGAGGCTGAGGTAGAAGGATCACTTCAACCCAGGAGTTTGAAGTTGCTGTGAGCTATGATGGCACATCACTCTACTGAGGGTGACAGAGTAATACTCTGTCTCAAAAACCATAACAACAACAAACAAAAACAAAAGCCCAGGAAATTGGCATTGGTACAATGTGTACCAGCTTATTGTAACCACCACTGCAATAAGGATACTGCAGAATCACTATATTTCCACAGAGATCTCTCTCACGCTATATACCTACTTGTCTTAACCCCTGGCAACAACTGCTGTATCCAGAAATACAATTGAGTTTTTGTATGTTGATCATGGAGCCCATAACCTTGTTTGATTTTTTGGTTTGAAGACTTGTTTGTTTTGGTTTGATAGATTCCTTGGGATTTTTTTTTGCAGTTTTTGCTGGGGCCAGGTTTGAACCTGCCACCTCCAGGGCCAGTGCCCTACTCCTTTGAGCCATAAATGCTGCCTGGATTTTTTTTTTTTTTTTTTTTGAGGCAGAGTCTGTTGCTGGGCTAGAGTGCAATGGTTTCAGCCTAGCTCACAGCAACCTCAAACTCTTGGGTTTAAGTGATCATCCTGCCTCAGCGTCCCAAGTATCTGGGACTACAGGCACCTGCCATCACACCCAGATAATTTTTCCTATTTTTAGTAGAGTTGAGGGTCTCACTTTGATCAGGCTGGTCTTGAACTCCTGACCTCAAGTGATCCTCTGACCCCTGCCTTCCAGAGTTCTAGAATTATAGGCATGAGCCACCACACACAGCATCCTTGGGATTTCTACATGGACCATAAGGTGACCTGCAAATAGGGATAATTAAATTTCTTCCTTTCCAGTCTTTATGCTTTATTTGCTATGATGGCCAGGACTTGCAGTACTGTTTTATATAAAAAATGGTGAGAGCTGATGTCCTTGTTTTCTAATCTTTGGCAGAAGGCATTAGTTCTTTCCCTACCACACCCTGATGTTAAGGGTAGGGTTTTTATAGATGTCCTTTACCAGTTTGAGGAAGTTCTGCCCTGTCCCTAATTTGCTGGCTCACACCAATTAGGAAAATCAATTCTAGGTAGGATCGATTCTAGACTAAAACCATGTTTTTTAAACCCTAAACTTAGGATAATTTTAGGTTCACAATAAGTTGCAAAACTAGTACAGAGAGGTTCCATGTACCCATTATCCAGCCCCTCTCCCCCCCATGGTGACATCTTTCATGACTCTGTGCTTCATTGACTGACATGGTACAATTAACTAGACGACAATGATCTGGTCTTACTCAGATTTCGCCAGAAAAATCCATTTCAACCCACCAAAATTAGAAAGCTTTTAAGTGAAAAAAGAACATATTCATGATCTCGATAGAGAAAGATTTCTTGGAGGAGAGAAGTACAAAGGATAAAGGAAAAGTGATACATTTGGCTACGTTAAAATGACTAACTTCTGTTCATCAAATGACACTGGGAAAGTCACATAAAATATGGAGACGACCTCTAAATTTAAGACATTTAGTTAGGAAGCAAGAATTGCGATTTGGATATACACAGACCTGTTGGCGGTCTTCAGTATATCCAAAGAACAAAGAGAAGTTTGGAGGTTTCATAAAAAGAAATGTTAGGTATTGTTTTGAAGGACAGTTTGTTAGCACAGTAGAGTTTTAGGGAGCTGGCAAGGTGTGTTTGGCGGGTGAAGGCATTGGGTAAAGGCGGCCGTGGAGTTGCTAGAGGTTGTTTGCAGGGCCCTTGGATGAGCAGCAGGGTCACAGCAGGCAGTTGCAGCCTGCAGAGGATTAAGAGCTTGGAGGAATGTTATGTGGACTGAGTGCTTTTCCCATGGCCTCTGCACGCTCTTTCAGTTGGGGATGACAAGAATGACCCCATTTGTATAGCCAACCTTTACAACACCGTAAAAATTGTGAAAAGAGAAGTCGCAAGCAGAAAAAAAAAACTTGCAGTGTGTGGAACCGGCAGAGTTTGATCTTAAGCATATAGATCTCTGTACGGACTATTTGAATCTATAAGAATTCAATACAAACATCCCAGTGGAAGTGTGGGCCCAAGAGTTGAATAGTTAACTCACAGAAGACAACCTGCCAATGGCCCAACGCAGACTCTCGCGGGGGATATGAAGGTAGGGGGGACTTCACCGGGTCCAACCAGGGCTGGCAGGGCAGCGCCAAGGCAGGGCAGTGACGGGCCGGCTGTCCGGACGCCGCCAGGTTGGCAGGGCGGCGAGGGTGGTGCGGGCGGCCGGGTGCTTGCTGCAGACCCCAGGTGCAGGCCCCAGGTTTGTTACCGGCTGGCACTGATTATGCATACAACATACGTAAATAAATCAAGGCTCTGCCGACCGCGGAGCCGCCGGCTGCTCCCTGCGAAGCAGTGCTGAGGCCCTTGCCCGCGTCCTTCTCTCGTAGAGTCTCCCAGGCTGAGCAGAGCAAGTACAAGGTGCTGTACAACTCGGGGTTGCTGTTCCGCCACCGCCTCTACGCGGACCTGGAGACGGTCCTGCACCACGTGCACCTGTTCCAGCCGGTCTCGCAGCTGGTGCGGCAGGCGGCGCTCTACGTGCGCAAGACGGTGCCCCGGAGGGCTTTCCAGGCGCTGGCCAGGTGCGTGTGGCCCGGGGCGGCCCGGGGCGGGGCAGGCGGTCCCTGCAAGCCGAGTGGGGTGCAGTGCGGGAGCCTCCCCCCACCACGAATCCACCTGCCACCGACGCCATCGGCTCTGGGCTGTGTCCTCTCCTCAGATGCTCGCCATGCGACTCCGCTGGGGCTGCTCCTCTGTGGAATCCCCTAGAATAGCCCGAGGAAGGAGCAGCTGGTTAGAACCCCTTTTCCGAGTGAGGGGTGGGGAAGGATGGAGGACTGAAACCGCCAGACCCACCAGCCAACACCGCGCTCCCTCTGTGCTGCCGCCCTGGCTCGCGCCCCCAGACCCGTCCCGGCAGGTGCAGGTCGGGTGCTTCAGGACCGCTGGCTTCTGACCGGCTGGCCGGAGCCTGCCCTGTATTGTCCCCTGGCGGGGAGCTGGGGCGCCCGAGAAGCTTTCACCACTCTCCCCAGGCCCCACCAAAGCGGGTCCAGGAGGTCGGAGGCGCAGGTCCAGTCCCCTCTCAGAGCAGAGATGGACACAAGAACACACGAGGAGTCCTGGGCCCCAGGCTCCTGTGTGCTCAGCGCAGCAGGCCAGGAGGACAGAGGCTGGTTTTTTTCCCCAGGGCGGGATAGACTGACCTCAAGGAACCAGGAGAGGCTCTGCCGGCTGGCCGGCGTGAGGCAGGACGCGCAAACCTGTGTGCCCCGGCGGGAAGCCCACAGCCAGGCTGGCCCAGAGGTCCCCAGCGCTGCTTGTTGATGTATTAATAAAGGGTGGAGAGGCTGGGGAGAGAGACGTGGAGGAAAACCTCAGAGCTGAGAAGGCCTTCCATCCCCCACCCCTCACCCCCAGCCCTGCCCCTGGGGATGGGCAGGCATCAAGTGGGTAGTCTCGGGGCGGCCTGGCAGAAGTGGGAGAGGCTGGACCGTGGAGTTCTGCTAGGGGTCCGCGAGAAAACTGCTGTGAAGTCATTACTGCCTCCCAGGTGGCTGTCTCATTCCCACCTGCGAGGGAAGGTGGCGGTTTAGAAAGGCTGAGTGGCCGCCAGGGTCCCTCAGCTAGTGAGAGACCGTCCACCCTCTTCAGGCACCGCCTCACACCATACATCAGAGGAGGATGAGACAGTGCAGCCAACAGCGTTTGCCCACAGATGTCCCTACATGCTGGGGCCTGGCAGAGGGCCCTGGGAGGAGCCGTCACTGTTGGCAGAGGTGGGGTGACAATCTTTGAGCTTTGCTGAGAAATGAGGCTTTCTGCATATTGCCCCTGGGCCCTGTGAGCACTGAGGCCCTACCCCTGACAGCAGCTTGTTGGGGTCACTTCCTGGTGGGAGCAGGCTGATCAGAGGTATGAATAAGGCCACAGTAGCAGAAGAGTCCTCAGAGCAGGCGGTGGGTATTCTCTGGCCTCTGGAGGCCGGGAGGAAAGGAGACATTAGCTGTGAGTTCAGGCTTTTCGGACTAGAATCTGGGCTCTTTAATTACAAGCTCTGTGACCTGGGACCAGCTGATCAGCCTCAGCGCTTTCATTTCCTACTGTAAAACAGGGATGATGATGCCGTCCTGCAAGGTAGGGAGACTCACTGGGGTGGGGGTTCTTCATTCCAGGATCTATGAAATCTGCCACAACAGTACCAACCTCAGGGAGGTGATCATAAGAGACCTGTTGCCTTCCTCCGCCATGATAAAAGACTTGAGCCAAGAGTTCGGGATGCCCCTTTCACAGGAAGCGTTCACAAATGAAAGCCTGTTGGCTGTACCGACACAGCCAGCCCCCAATCTCGAAGACTTCCAAAGCCGGTCCACCCTCTCTTCAGAGATCCAGGCCCATCAGAAGAAATACCTGCTCTGGCGGAACACCATGATGCTGAAGAGGAAAGCCTCGGCCAGCCTGGTACAGGTGGGTCCCCGCCCAGCCTGGCCAGCCACTGCCAAGAGATACCGAGCTGATTCCAGAGCCGGGCATCAGCTTTTGGCTGGGGATGCTGGGCTGGATGGGCACAAAGTGCAGGCCGTGGGGCTGAGCCACACCGTTCACTTCCAGCCCTGGCTTGCCTCACCCTTCTTGAAAGGTAAAAAGGAATGTGTTCAGGTGTATTTCCTTTACTGTGGCCCCAGAGTTCATCATAGAGAAAGAACTGTCGTGCGTGTGTGTATGTGTGTAGTACCTGGCTTAGGCTGCTGCTGAGGGCGTGGCTGTCCTAGATGTCTAAGCCATGTAGGAAATAAACTCATCTGCATGAGAGAGGGAGCAAACCGGAGACTGCGAAGCTGGTGAGGGGATAGAAGGTTGATACTCTGTGGCCTGAATGGGCAAGGAGAACCTCCCTTACCCCGTGCCAACCACAGTTAAAAACACAAACATCTGAGGTATGTTTGGGAATTGTCTGCCCATGGTCTGTCTGTGTAAAGACCCCTACTACACCCCCCACCTCAATCTCTAGTTTAAACATAAAAAGCCTCCTAGAATCTTGGAAGCTTTGTAGGTGTGCATTCTTTATAAAAACCAAAGGATAGGCTCAGCACCTGTGCCTCAAGCGGCTAAGACGCCAGCCACATACACCTGAGATGGCCAGTTGGAATCCAGCCTGGCCCACCAAACAACAATGACAGCTGCAACCAAAAAATAGCTGGGCATGGTGGCGGGCGCCTGTAGTCCCAGCTACTTGGGAGGCGGAGGCAGGAGCCTTGCTTGAGCCCAGGAGTTGGAGGTTGCTGTGGGCTGTGATGCCATGGCACTCTACTCAGGGCGAGAGCTTGAGGCTCTGTCAC